AGAGGAAGGAATTTGTGAAACGAAATATTTTGCCTTTAGTACTGTCAAGTTATATATTCACAGGAGTGTTGTTGAATAAATGAACATTTTCCCTTTTTTTACATTATGCTACCTTTATGCTACAAAGGTAGCATTTCCATTTTCATGATATACAAAGATATTATAGAGTGGCCTTCCAATGATAGTCATACATGTAAATCATTGTCTCATTGGCAATCATACTACATCATCATATTGTTATACATGTATGTAAAAATTATGTACATGTATACTTTGTAAACGTAAAGAAGACAAATGAAGTTGAACACAAGATATTTATTTGCATTTTTATCCGTATAGTCTCTGCACAACTGCCACTTCTGTTTCAAATTCAATAGATTGAATGCGGAGTCTTGTATTTATTCTTAGTTCAATGATGTCACCATCACTTGCACAAAAATCGCATACACATGTACATCAAGTTTGGCATATGAACTATGATATTTGAACTACAATAATGTGGTGTTTTCACAGTCAGGATAAGCACATGTCATTTTCTCTCTTACAAAACCATTTCTTAGTATCACATTGATAGTAGTACATGTAATAGGTCCACTACATGACTGTGCAGTAACATTTGAAAAAAAGTCATCACTTATAGTTGTTCCTGTCTGCCAGGGAATCTTTTTTTCAATCAGAAAGGCTAGGGAGTCCTACATTCAGCATTTGTATGATATTACATCTCTTGTATGCTGCACTGTTAGGTAAATTTGATCAACATCTTTGTTCTTTTATAACATGCAGATCCTGAAAAAAAAAAATGCTGTCAGATACTGAATGTAAATATACATGTATATAAACTTGTAAATGTCATCAAAGTGGTGGAAATAATGAAAAAAACAATTTATATACACAAAACCGGTATGTCTTGGGAAAGTAATTCCTGTGATCAATGGTGATGGGTACATTTGTTCTTTAAAGATGGACAATTTTATAAACTATAGCCATGGACAGGTGCCTGTCTTTATATTGAAGAGAATGATAATGGCCGACAACTTGAATGGTCATTTTTAATTGTAAATTGCATCAAAGCTGGTGAAAATATGGAAAAAACAACTGTTATATACAAATCCAGTATGTCATAAGAAAGTAATTCATGTGCTGGGAATAATTATTCTCTAAAGATGGAAAAGTTTATTGACTGTAGACATGGACAGGGGCCTGTCTTTATATTGAAGAGAATGAAAATGGCCGACAGCTTGAATGGTCATTTTTAATTGTAAATTGCATCAAAGTGGGTGAAAATATGGAAAAAACAACTGTTATACACAAATCCAGTATGTCATAAGAAAGTAATTCATGTGCTGGGAATAATTTTTCTCTAAAGATGGAAAAGTTTATTGACTGTAGACATGGACAGGGACCTGTCTTTATATTTTAAAAATTGAACGTGGCCGACAACGAGAATACTGAATTTTAATTGTAAATTGCATCAAAGTGGGTGATTTAATGAAAAATTCAACATATTTACACAAAACCAGTATGTCTTGGGAAAAGTTATTCATCTCATAAATGGTTTTATTCCTTTTCGAATGAAAAGGTTTTAATAAAAAATACGTCCGTGTAAAAAATTTTCATAACGTCCATGTCGGCCAAGCTTTGCCCTTATTATTGACCACAATAAAACGTTAATCGTCACAATATTTTAACTAACAATTACTACAAACTGAATAAAACAAGGTAAATAATTTACGAAATTGAAATATATACTTACATTATGCTGTTTTGAAAAGCTTGATGTAAAATAAAAATCGAAGCGGTGGTGAACTTGTCATGATCAGATGCAAAATGGCGATCTCGTTAAAGTCTCGTGTGATGCGTGTTTTTAATTGGATTTCGCTGACCACTGTTACAGTTGCCAATCTCTGTGTATATATGTCTCTGCTCAAATGGCGTGATGAAAATTTTCAATGTGTATCATACTTTCCAGGAAATTGTTTTTTTATATGATCATTGATAAAAAAAAAGAAATCATAGACAAAATCCAATCTGTACAAGGTAGGTTAAATATTTTAAGATGTTTATTATTTACATCATGATAGCTCGCTATATATATAGACTTTTATCCTAAAGTTTGCTTTAACGTTAAACCTAGAGGGCCTGTTTTTTTTTCACATTCATATGCTTCAGATTGTTCATTCAGAAAATATCAAAGTTACTGTTTCATTGATTAAATCTATCGTTAATTATTTATTTCTATGTTGAATTCGTTATCTAGTTTACTTCAATTGTATGTGTAAGGTAACATGGTTAAGATACCAAGATGGATCGCAAACAATTTTTTAAGATAGTTATTTTATGGAATGGGCAATCGCAAATACCTTAAAACTCAAGATTGGACAATCACACAATCCGTACGAAAACAAACGACTTGTCTTTAGACAGATGCATGTTTTCCATTCGTTTGATGTGTTTGAGCTTTGATTTTGTTAAGGAACTTTCCGTTTTGAAATTTTCCTTGGAGTTCTGTGTTTTTGTTATTTTACTTTTTAATTAAATTAATACGTTCGGCATATTAATTCAAAATGCTAAAAAGTATGAGGAATTGTATGTAATCTCACAAAACATGTTTAACTCCGCCGCATTTTTGCGCCTGTCCCAAGTCAGGAGCCTCTGTCCTTAGTTAGTCTCGTATATTTTTTTTATTTTGGTTCATTTATATGTTTCGGAGTTTAGTGTGACGTCCATTTTCGCTGAACTATACACATTTTTGTTTAAGGGCCAGCTGAATCCCGCCTCCGGTTGCGGGAATTTCTCGCTGTGTTGAAGACCCTTTTGTTACCTTGGTCTGTTTTTTTTTTTTTTTGCTCTTTGGTCGGATTATTGTCTCTTTACACATTCCCCGTTTCAATTTTCAATTTTAGATATAAGAGGAAAATAACATATTAAAGGTGAAACTCGTAAACAGGTCAGTACTGAAAATGTTATGACAGGGCCCGATTTTGAGGTGTTAGATCTTACAAAATCTTCCCAAATAGTTTTGCAAATAAATCTACTGAAACCGGTGCTTGGGGCTGTCTTAAACTTGCAGTGAGATAGAGGCTTTTTTCGCTCCGTGTTGAAGGCCTCTCTGTGACTTTGAGATGAAGCGTTATTCCTTTGTCTTTTGTGTGCTTTTCTTTCATAAGCGGCTGTGCTTGTACTGATTTTGTGTCATGGATGGATACCTCATATCATGTGTTTTTTTCTATTATATGAATAAAGATTGACATTTTTTGTTATATATATATATTAATACCATAACAATAATCATTAAGACAATAACTATATTGATGATAAGTGTTTATATTGAATGTAGGAAATCATGATTAAAGTGGTCATATGCATATCTATACTATTACATTCGGTACAACAGAAACCATTGGATGAAAAGGATACCAATGTACATAAGTTACCAAACAAGTATTAGATACAATACAAAGGTAACAAAGAAACAGGCTGGTAACAACCGTTGCCGGATAGTTTTTCTGCACGAGTAGTCAGGTCAAGGTCCGAGGCGATAGCCGAGGACCTTGACCTGACTACAAGTGCAGACAAACTATACGGCAGGTTGTTTCCGGCCTGTTTTTTGTTACCTTTGTTTTGTATCTGACTTGTACGACGTTTCAAGAAGGAAGAAGTACATTTTACATTTAGAAGAGGTAGCAAAACTAAAGATATTAGAAACTTAAATGGCCATATACCAGTTAATGTAAGTTACAGTTTAAACTCAATTTTTTTTTCTCACTTCCCTTCAGCCGAGAGTTTTTTCTCAAAAAATTCAAGAATCTTATAACTTTATAAAAAGAACCATTTCAAGTTAAAGGTGAATGTTATACACATTTGAGACTTTTTGAAATGCAACTTCGCAAGTAAGTAATGTATAAAAAAGATTTCAGAGGTAAGCAAGCTACGGTAACCATTTGATTTTATTGGGGGGAAAGGGGGGGAGGGGGTTAAAATAAATTTAAAATAAACAATGTCTTGTTATTATATATATATATATATATATATATAGACATATGTTTTGGATTCAAAAAAAATGTTCATGCTTATAGGTTTTTATATGTCTCTGATAGTGTTGATCAGGATTAAACACGTGTCACTATATGATCCAATCAGAGCTTTCCGTCCCAAATTTATGACATAAGTTGAATGATTTTCTTCACGATTTGCTGCATATTTGAACATGTATTACACGGACACTTTTTATTTATATGATCAATCGTGCATTGGTGAGTTGATAGGGATTTTATCTTTTGATTAGATTTGATTTATATATAATTATATATTTCCTGTCTTTTTATTGAAATATAAACGTTGGTACCAGCATTTCTTTCAGCATTGTCCAGAATACTATTCATGTCCATATATTGAAAAAAAATACATTTACGGACCGACCATTTAGCTTCAAAAGGGGGGGGGGTGTTCTTTTCTGAGTAAGAAAATTATTTAGTTTTTCAACGCTATCGCCCAAATATTTTTTTTTCGAAATCAGCACTATTATTATACGGTATTCGGAAAATCTTGAGTCAGAACATTATTTTCAGTGTCATCTGCTTGACCATAATATATTTTTTCTCATAAAATTGGGGATCAAAATGTTTTTTTTTTAGGAAAAACCATAACCGGCCTTTTGAAGTTAGATGGTCAACCCCTTAGTGTACTAATATGAATAGTTACTGGAATTGTTTGAAAACAATATAGTTATTGATGCTAACGTAAATATTTTCAATTAAAAAGACAGGAAATATGTCGGTGAAACAAAAAGTTCAAATCTAATTGAAATTTAAAGTGCCCATGAACTCACTGATCATGCACGAGTGATTCTATTCATAAAAAGTGTCCGTGTAACAACTAAAAAGTGTCCGTGTATCATCTAAAAAGTGTCCGTGTAATACCCGTTAATGTACTGTTTTTCTATAGCTCTGCTGGGGGCAAAGTCGTACAATGTATGGAAAACAAAAGGACCAGACAAGAAGGTAAACGAACAGTCAACCCAAAATATTTTCGAAACAAGATTAACAACGTTACCTTCCATGTCATCTTTAAATGACATGAGAGAGTGGAAAAATAACCCTACAACAACATTGCAAGATAATCGAAATCAACATTCTGATATCAACACGATAGGAAAGAATGTTACCACTGAAAGTTCACCTACAGACATATTTGAAATTCATTTTAATCTTAGTAGCAAACCAAATGCGTCTGAAGCAAATCTGTCTACTACAACAACTATGTTTACGGTTATAGGAGCTGTTATTGCAGTTATTCTACTATTATAAAACTAAGAAGATGTGGTATAATAGAAAATAAATGATATGGGGTTTCCATCAATGACACAAGCATTTCCAAGCATTGATGAAGTCGCTCACGAATAGTATTCATTGTGTGGACATATTGTATACCTTTGAAACAATCTCCCGAACAATTTGGAACAATGCACATAGCATTTTAAATCTCAACTTAAAAATATTTTTAATCGTTTTCCTTTTTAATAACATTTAATTGATATATTTTGTATCTAAATTGAGACACGAATATGTAGTGTGCTTTTTGCGCAGCATGTTTTCTTTTTATTGTAATTGTATTCACATTAAGTCTACATTTTGTATTCCTTTCTCAGGGATTTTACCTCTTTAGCATGATTTTTGGACGACAGGAGTATTCAACTTCTAATTATTATTTTGTTTTATTTTAATATGTAATGTTATATTGACTTTTTACATGCTATTCATTTTTATTGTATTTTTTATTTCAGTAATTGCATCTGGTGTATTGTAGGTTTTGTGTTTTTCTTTTCTTTTTAAATTGTTTTATTTACCATCATGGTTCATTGCCCAGTTTATTCCAGCTACATATATCATTGGCATTGTCAGTTTGTTTTCGACTTATGAGAGTAGCTATCCCTTGGTAACTTCCGCCTCTCTTTTGAATCTAAAGACCAAAAGCAAAACTCCTAAGTCGTACATCTGCCTAACTGAACAAGCCTCGTATCTTTGGCTATTAATCTATTTTATGAAAAGGAAATAAAACCTCTAAAATGCAAAAAAAAAAATTTGTTGTGCAATTTCGTGTATCTACTGCCAATTTTATGTATCTTCTGCAAATTTTATGTATTATAAAGAGATAAATCTAATTATTACATTGGTTACAATGAATTACCGTGATTTCCCAGTGAAATAAAAACCGATAATTTCACATGAGAAATAACCTTGGTTATTTCACTCCTCTGACGTCATACAACAATAGGTGTTGTCAAGACGTTTCGAACAACACTGATAATTACGCGCATTCGTGAGTTAATGTGTTGTTCGGTCATACGTTGAATATTTTATATTTATATTTTTATATATTTGACTTCTTCGATTAGTTATTGTATAACTATCAAACAATACAGATTATAATTATAGCAAATCTGTCTTACTTTTATTCATCAGTTGATACGTTTATAAGAAAAGAAGAAGTCATTGTGGGTGTATATGTCAATAAGACATCAATCAAATGATATAAAGGCCAAAAGACGCATAAGAGTTCCATATTTAAATCTCGTAATCGCGCCCGAGTCCATAAAAGTTCTTAATACTTGCAATAATGAATGCCTTAGCATAAACCAATTCTGCTGAAATAACACACAGATTTAAAGAACATACTTGGAAAAGGGTACAAAGAGAAAGCATAGAAAACAAACAATGACAAGGCTCCAAGATAAACAACAAAAAACAGTACATTAAACACTACACACACAAAAAAAGCAAAACAACCTAAAGATTGAGGAAATCTGGGAATACCAAAATCTTGAAAAGGGGTTTAACGCATTTACTCCGGAATGGTAAACACTTAACAGGTGAAACCATTCAAGCTGCTTATAGCCAGTTAACATTCTGTGATAAATCATATCCATTAATCTCACAATCGAGGAAAAGAGGGTTGGATTGTGACTACGACAATTGAATCATGTCAATGGTCATACGTTACATACTCTAAAACAGTCATTCAAATCATGATGAACCGCCTCGGTGGTCTCGTGGTAGCGTGTTCGTCTCTAGTGCGGGAGGTCGTGGGTTCGAACCTCGGCCGGGTCAAACCAAAGACTTTAAAATTGGTATTTGCTGCTTCTCCGCTTAGCACGCGGCGTTAAGGACTAAGAGCAAAGACTTGTCTGCTCGGAGTCTGAATAATGTGTCCGGGTAAGGTGACATGTTTTCCTGTGGACTGTTACCTTGTGAACTAGCACGTTAAAAATCCAGCTCAGCGTGTCGGTCTTGTACAAAGCAGGGTTAATATTCATATTACATTAACATGTTCTAGTCCTGAATATGCATATTAATTTGCCGCTGGATGTTAAGCAGCCATCCATCCATCATCATCATCATCAAATCATGATGGCATCCATATCACTTTTATTTAATTCAACTTTAGCATTTGGAACCCTTTGTTCAATATCGTCCTTAAATTAAAGTAACAGCTAGTTTTCCGATGTTCAAAGCCCATACATTGATTACGAAGATGGCAATCAAGGTAACAACTAAAAACTGGGGGAATTTCATGAGCTACAAAAGGATCAAGACCAGGTGTGTCGCCAAGGTTAGAGTCTACTACTAGGCATGGATCACCCGCTATGGAAATATAGTATCATATTAAAGGTATAATCACTGGATATGCTACGAGAATGTTTCTAAACAGATATTGAAAACTAAATTTATAGTTCACAACCGTCACTGAATGTCAATCTCCAGATTCAAAACAAGTTAAGAAGCAATAATTTTGATGAAATGGATTAATGATGTTGTTTTTGCACTGACACTTATACATGTTCACTTATGTATACGTATATACCTTGGCTCAACTAGAAAAATATATTGAATTTGACTAGGTTTACTGTGCCAAGTTATACTACGAATACACATACCATTTATACCCCGTTAGTTTTCTCAATTATTTGTTTTCATATTTTTCATGTTGGGGCGTTTTACAGCAAACTATACGGTATGGGGTTTTCTCATTATTGAAGGCCGTATTGTTGCTTTATTTGAACTTTGTTGGATAGTTGTCTCATTGGTAGACTTGCTACAATTCCCTTTTATGTATTTCTTTCTTACTAATTTATATATTTACTGAAAACTGCCAGTAGAGGAAACAGTGTCAGTATAATGGAAATCTCTTTGTTATATCAGTAAAATTGGTACAGGGGCAAAATTGAAGAAAAAAAGAAAAGAAAATTAGGAAGAGACATGTAGCAATGCAAGTCTAACTCATTGGCAATCATATCACATCTCCTTATCTTTGTATACCATGCAATTACTTAATACACAAAAATAATCAAATTATGCGTTATTTCCGATTATTTTTTACGCCGAAAAATTAAAATAACAAATTATTAGTGCATGAAATAAAATGTAAACACACTACATTGATCTATTTTATAACCGTATGGCAATGAATGGCAGGTTTTGATTTTTTTTCCTGTCAGTAAAGGCTGACCTCAATTACATTTTATGGATCAACTATCTTTTAAAAAATATAATTATTTCCTTTATGCATTATTCAAATTTTGAAATAAAAAGTGAATTGAGTCTAAATAAAAATACATTTCTGTAATTTTCCATTGATGACGCAATCCAATTAAGCAAACAAATTCCACTTGAGATCTCAAAGATGATAAATATTACTAATGATCTGACTATTGTGGATCACGTATACCACTTTATTTAGGTTTGTTGTTATTACATAGAGTTTTAAAAGAAGACGTCATAGCCTACTTGTTGGATAATTAGAAGAATATGAAATATTTCAACAAATAAATTGTTCGTAAAGAAAATAACAATATGACAGTTATGTTCGTTTAAAGTATGTAGTGCACATATCTAGCAGATAGTGTAGTGCTCCTCAACCTCATATTTCATTTTGCCTACTAACAGTTTTGATTCGAGCGTCACTGATGAGTCTGATGTAGACGGATCCCGCGTTTGGCGTACTAAATATTTATAAGCTATAAGCTTTTTAAAACATTTTTTTTCACGATTGCTTCAATAGAGACAAAGAAGAAACCTTAATGTACATATATTACGTGGATAAATAAGGGATAAAAGTGGTAATTTCTTTCTACACGAACACTAAAAACAAAAACAAAAATGCAAGAAAACTCACTGTTCAAATTAAATACTAGTAGGTGATTATTTAATAAATAAATAGCAGGACTCCCTTACATTTTTACTTTTGTATAAACAATTTACGAACTTGAGGAAATGTGAAACAACTAAACTTTGCTTCCCCCATTTTCAATTTAATTTGGAGGTCGGTATTTCTTATATATTTTTTTTTCTACAAACCAATCAAAAATTTTATATCTAATGAATCTGTTCATCACAAAAGTGTTTACAAAAGGAAAAACAAAACCGATTACAAGTCTTTTTTGTAAAGGTTTGGCTTGACTTGACACAAAATCCACATGTTTTACTTCTAGGAAGATACATTGATTATAATTTCTGTGAAATAAGTTTCCCTTTGGTATATATATATAACCTAATATGTCTCGTTTATTTCGTATTTGTACTGTTTTGAAATTATATCGCCTTGAAAATTTCATAATACACAGTGTCATAGAAGGGGTCATTAACCTTACCTGGCTATTAAATCGTAGAAATGTAAGTCTGCCTGACTTGTCCTAGGAAATTATTTTGTTTAGGTTTCAAGAACGCCCACAATTACTTGGGAGCCTCGATGGCCGAATAGTCAAAATAGTTCAACCACTGTATCACTGAAATTGAGAATGGAAACGGGGAATGTGTCAGAGACAACAACCGACCAAAGAGCAGAAAACAGTCCAAAGCCACCAATGGGTCTTCAACAAAGCGAGAAAATTTCATATCCGGAGGTGGGCTTCAGCTGGCCCCTAAACAGTAATATATACTAGTTCAGCGAAAATGAACGTCACACTAAACTCCGAAACATATAAATGAACCATTAATTAAAAAAACAAGACTAACACAGGCCAGAGGTTCCAGACTTGTGACAGACTCAAATATCCGGCGGGGTTAAACATGTTTTATGAGATCTAAACCCTTCCCCTACACCTCTATCCAATGTGGAATAAACAAATACACAGCAACACGCACAGTAAAAATCATTTTAAAAGAAGTCAGAATCCGGTGTCAATACTGAGGTTGTGACTTTGTACTTTGTAGGTGCAGTTGTCCTATCTAAGGTCGGCGGTTCTCTCCGGACCCTCAGCTGCCTCCACCAAGAAAAACTGACACAACGAAACAGCCAATAGTCCTGAAAGTGGCGTTAAACACCAATCAATCAACCAATTATATAGTTCTGGTTGCTTGTTCCTTATTAACATTTAATAAAGTTATTCGCAATTTGTTTCCATGTCAATGTATCCAGAAAAGGAGGTCGATTAGGAAAGCAAGAATTGGATTTCGATTTAAGAATTCAAAGTTGAAAAGTGGATCAGAATAACCTGTCAATTTGAAATCTTTTTTTATTTAGACGTCAGAATTGAGGAGCTGTGGTTAATAATAGACTGGACGTCAATCTGAGTTCAACATATTTATATTATTATATGCACATGCATACATGTATGTGTGATTCGGACGCATGAGGTTTTATGGTATTGTCATCATTGTTAAGTACCTCGCATATCATGTCATTTAAACAAAGGAAAAAAAAAACATATGCACTACAAATTATGACTTTGTTCATTAGCAAGACATGGATTTGTTGACTTGATTTTTTGCGTCTTTTTTAATGTAATAAATGATACTTAATGGACATTTTCGAAAAATAGAACACATTTGTAATTATCTGCGTTACAGATATCGCACAAAATTCATCCGAAAGAAAATTACGTCATACTCTTATTATGTATAGTACATGTAGTAGATACTTAAATGTACTTAAATGCAACTAATTCTAAACCAATCAGCGTTTAACTACAAAGGTAGAATATATTTATTCTTAAATCGCTATTGTAGTCTACATACTTTATTAGAGTATTATAAACTTCTGTGTTGACATGTATTATCATTGATTTGGTCATAACTATAAATTAACTGTTTACAAAAATTGTCGAATGCTAACTCATTTAACTTGAAGGCTTTCTACCTCATGAATAGATTACCTTAGCTGTATTTGGCATAATATTTATAAATTTTGGGTCCTCAATGCTCTTGAACTTCGTGCTTTTTTTTATTCGAGCGTCACTGATGAGTCTTTTGTAGACGTACAACATTTCAATCCTGCGGCTCTATTCACAAAAAATCTTCAGAGTGAAAATACTCGTAAGTCATACACATTTCAGTATAACTTACGATCAACTTTATTCGTAAGATGTTTTGTGAAAAGAGTCGCTGGTATCTATGATGAGTTCTTAATAAGCTATTTGAGCTCATATACAT